TGGTTGTGAGTGTCGGCGAAATGCTGATGTATGTGTGCTCGAGTGTCGACCACGTGGAGGTGTCTTGAGCTGAGCGAACCCAGGTAAGGTTGTTTAGCTTGCCCTGATCATTGGTTGGTGTGGGCGCTGGTTGCAGGTCGGGTCGTTGTTCTTGGAGAAAGCTGGCGAGGTCCTCGTCCCAGCGCTTGCGCTGGCCGCCGTGGCGTCTCTGGCCACGTTGGCGTGAGTTCTTTCCTGGTTGCCAGTGGAGTGCTCGCCACGTCCGTCTGGTGGGCTCGTGGTTGGCGACCTTCGATGCCATGCGCCACAACCTCTGCCTGCAAATCATCTTACAATTTTCAATGTGCTGGTGCTGCAAGAGCTGCTCTGCGCGCCGCGTGGCTCGCTGGATGCAGTCGACCCACGGCTCCATCGCGTCCTCGTCATTGTTGTTGTCGTTGCTCTCGCAGTGTCGGCATGTCGTGTCTCGGTGGAGCGTGTTGCTCTCTACGTCGTCACTGCTGCTGGATTCTTGATGAGGTGCGTGGGTGGTCGTGCGGTCGTCCCCGTGGCCCTGTGTTCTGCTCGTCAGGGTCGTTTGGCGGGTAGCGCGTCGCCTTGGCGTCCTGATGATCATGCGGAGCATGCGTCGTTGTCTTCGCCGCAGGTGTTGCCGAAGAGGTTTCGTGAGCGTTCACGTCTCAGCTCCGAAGAGAGCTGCGGGTGTTACTGTCCGATTGAAAAAGCCGGAGGAGAGGAGAAGAGAGGAGAACAGGGGAGGAGAGGAGGAGAGGAGGAGAGAGGAGAAAAGGGGAGGAGGAGGAGGAGGAGGCAGGACACGGTCTCGTACTAAATGAGACCAGACACGGGATTCCTCTCTTATGCATTTAGCCCAGACGATGATACCTGCCAGGGGGAATAATCCCCAAACATTAGACAGCACGGCCGGCAATAGAGGGAAAATAATTCGATTGCCGACCCCCGCACCGAATTGCCAAGCCAGAGCTTCGGGGGAGGGCACGTGCAACATTAAACACGTCTTAAGGTTATCTGGGGAACTCCTGGGGATGTCTTGTGCTGTCAGAGGCCTGCGGACGCGAGAACGCTGAAACGTTTCAAAACTCAAGAGGGAGGGAATCCATCGTCTTTATTTCTTCAGGGACTCCTGGGGGCCTCTCCAGAAAGCCTGCTCGGTGCCGCCTGGAGCATCTTGGCAGAGGATCGTGGGCCCACAGGGAGCTCCACCGAATTGAGGGATGAAAAAACGACCCTGCCCTGGGTTTCAAGTGCGCGGTCTGTAAACCTCCTGGGAACCCCCAAAGCCCAGAGCCGCCAGGACGCGGCACATCACGCAGGGTTTACCCTGTCAGCCCGCAGGAGTTTCAGCGCACAGCGCCTCGTAAACCAGGGTAGGGGCGTTTTTTTCTGCCCTTGACCGAAGGCCCCAGAGGCAGGGCCCCCATGGCAGCGGCGCTCCCACTTCGGCACGCCCCTCCCGAGGACCTTCGGCCCATAGGGAGCTTCGCCATAGGCCCCAGAGGCAGGGCCCCCCTGGCAGCGCCGCCCCCACTTCTGGACAAGACTGGGGGCCTCTGGTGGACCTCTCCGAGGTCTCCTGGGGCCTCCTGGGGGCGTCTTGGGGGCCTGATCCCGTGGGGAGGGGGGGATCGACATGTCAGTTGGAACCTCCCATCTTGGGTCCACAGGGCCCTCTTGGGGGCCCGCTTCGGCCGTCTAAACGCCCCTTGGGGCGTCCTGGGGCCCTCGTGGGTCGCCTCGGGGCTGGCTTCCGGGCGCCCTGGGCCGGCTGAGGGCGGCCCTGGGGGCGTCCTGGGCCGCCATGGTCGCCGTGGAGCGACTCCTGAAGCGACTCTGCTAGAAATGCGCGTCTTCTCAGAGGGATTGGACGAGGTTCGCCTCTTGGAGCTCCCTTGGGGGTCGCCTTGGAACGCTAGTTGACTACCTACCAGACCACCCCAACCCAACCCGAAGACCCGAATTTCGGGTTGGGGGGGGGGGTCAGGGTTCCACATGTGTTTTTTCGATGTTTCCCGACCCCCCCCCCTGGAAATCGAGGGTAAATCTGAGCCTTCGGGTTGGTTGGGTTGGGGTGGTCTGGTGGGTGGTGACTAGGGGGGGGGGTCTGAAACCTCCAATGCCATTCGAAAGGCTTTCTGAGCCGTCTGAATGTCGTGGAAGTCGTCCTTGGGGCGACTCGGAGCCCTCTTAAGCCGCCATCATGACGGCCTGAACGCTCTGGAGGCTGAGCTGAGTCGGGGATCTACTGACCTGGGTCAATGCAAACGTGGTCAGTCGGGCTTTGCAGGGTCCTGCAACATCCTGCTGGGTCCTGCGCTCTAGCCTGGGCCAATGCAAGCCCAGGCCCTGGCTTTGCAAGATTCTAGAAATCCAGCGCTCTCGCTGACCCCCGTTTGTGTTGACCCCCGTCTCAAAGCCCCCGACTAAGGCCCATGGTGCGCACATTTGCGATCCAGGTCGTGGCCCCTGGGGGCCCCAGGGCGCGGTAAGGCATCGCCCGAACTGATTACCCCTAACGTTCCCAGGCAGTCAGTCCCAGTTCAACTCGCAATCCGACTCGCACATGCAGACGCGCCGATAAAGATATGCGCGCCAACAAAAAAAAAGATGCGCTCATGCGGATGCCCGCTTTGGAACAGTACCGCTCAAGCCGGGGCTCCACCTGAGCTGCCGATATTCGTCGTGCTGTCAGACGCGGAGAATGGCCGAGGCCTGCGCCAAACACTTCTCCCCAAGTGCTCGTCAGCATTAGCCTGGCCAAAGGCGCCATCCCTGCAAAAAATCCTTGTGGCGCCGTAAGGATATCCCTTCGGCACTCGCCCGTCCCGTTAGGGGAAGAGCCTTGCGCAAGTCCTACATCCACCTGAAGAGCAACGTCAGGGGGGGAAACGGCTCGGGGGGGAAGGAAGCATCGATGTAGAATCTGCAATACATCGCCAACACATCGGCGATAGCCTCCCCCCCCGGATGGCGAAACCGCAGTCCTGGCCGGGCTGGGCTATCGGGTCCCTATCGGCGATGATGGGCGATTGGGGATCGATGCATTCCCCCCTGAGCCCATTCCCCCCCGAACGCTGCCCCTGACCAACTTGCCTCGCAATTGCTCGCGTGAGGCTCGGCGGCTCTGCGAGCGCCACAGCTTGCTTGTGAGCAACAAAGCATGCCTGTCAACACCGAAGCATCCCTGTGAGCACCGCGCCATGCCTATGGGGGAGCCGGCGCCCTCCCCGCGTACTGCCGGTACCGTCAAGGGGAAGGGGGAAGGGGGCCGACCCCCGTAACGGACGTTACGGCCCCACAGACAAGTTACCCTGCGACGTACCCGACTAATTTGAACCAAGTGCACGGAGTAGTTGGCCCATATTGTTTATGGATGATGGCACTACAAGATCCACGTTGTTGTGCAAGCTACATGGGGCGCGCGCGTTGCACGGCAATAGAACCCAGGTCCCTAGGAGGAGGGGGGCGGCAAGGTGGGGCAAGAGAAGGATGCAAAGGGGCCTGAAAAGTCAACGCGGCAGCTGCACGGAGACCGTGAAGGGGGAAGCTGACTACAACGAGGGAAGGGATTGAGAAAGGAGCGTGGCAATTTTCTCAAATAGCTCGCTGATGAGCAGCGATGTCGCCCTGGCGCCCTGCATGATGAGCTGTTCATAGCTAGTGCTAGGTCGGGCGTGTCCCCCTACAGGCAGATTTTTGACGAAAACTTAAAAATCAAACATTATCAGAAATAGTGTTTTGAAAAAAACTATATTTTTCACAATTTCTGAACATTCCTCCTGTAGAGGGACAGGTCCGACTTACAGCTGGTGCAAGGTGCGAACATGGCGAGATCCAATCTGAATCCCCACCGGGGCGTCACTCCGCCGCCCCCCAAGCAGCCCTCGAAAGTGACGACAAGTTCGCACCCCCTCCCGAAAAACGGCGAGGTCCGATCTCGACTCAGCAGTCCCCGAAAATGGTGACTCTTTCGCAGTTCGCAGCCCCCCAGGATTGGCGAGGTCGGATCTGACTCCGCGCAGGGCTTCACTGTGCTGCCCCCCCAGCAGCCTTCGAAAGCGGCGATAAACTCGCAGCTCGCAGCCCCCAGGGATGGCGAGGTCTAGCCCAGGTCCGCGTAGGACATAATTGCGCTGGCCTCCCCAGCAGCCCTCGAAAGTGGCGGCAATTTCGCAGTTCGCAGTCCCCCAGGGATGGCGAGGTCTGATTGGGGCCCGCAGAGGACGTCACTGCGCTGTACCCCGCCTCCCCAGCAGCCCTCGCACAAGGCGACATTTCCGCAGTTCGCAGCCCCCCGGGGATAGCGAGTTCGAATCTGAGTCCGGTTAGGGCGTCAGTGTGCTGGCCCCACCCCCCCCCCACACACCCTTCGAAAGCGGCGACGAGACTCGCAGTTCCCAGCCCCTCGGGGTGGCGAGGTCTGATCTTACCAGCCCTTTAGGGCGCGAGCGGTTCAAAGCGTTTCCTCATCCAACAAACTTCTTCCCCTTCGGGGAGGGTATTATCACTGCCACTTACTGATGTTGACCAGCGTGGGCCACAAACAGTGTGTCTAGCAACATGTGTCGCGCAGTCGATGTGAAGCTATACATGTGGTACCATCGACGCGGTGCAATTTACCCTGTCGAACTTGAAGTTGTCAACTCCATTGCGCTAGCAATCACCCCACCCACCCAACCGCAACTTGATTTGCTAAACCCATGAGGTGGCGATTGCGGTGACTGTTTGGCGCTGGCTAGCGATTCGCTGCGGCCGCGCTGGCGCGCGCAGGCTCGCGCGCAGAGCGGCCAGCTGGCGCGACCGACGCGGCCGCTGTGGCGCTGACCCCTGGGGACTCCCCAGCGCGTTTCGCAGGCCGCGCTGGCGCGCGGGCACTTCAGTGCAAGTCGGTGACCCGGGCGGGCGCGTTATCATGGCGACGTCGACAACGGCAGGCAAGATGATAATAGTAGCGATGAGGGTTGCGACGACGACGATGACGACGGCAAAGCTAATGGAGGTGCCAATGCTCATCACGCCGATGACGGTGATGGTATCAACATGTGAGTGGTGAAAGTGTCGGCGGGATTTCGACGTGCACGCGCGGCCAACGGGCGCGAGTGGCCCGCATGGTATCCGTTGACAGGGACCACGCCCCCGTAGCACGAGCACAAAGGCGTTCGAATGAATTCGATACGCGCGCACGAAAGGCCCGCTTGGTCGCATTGGATGAAAATGTTGGAGATGGTTCCCATTAGAGCTTTACCAGAGCGCACGCAAACGTGCTCTGACTAAGAACGTTGTAAAACCATTAGATCCGTTATGCTTTCGAACACCTCGCTTTTGACAGTTCCATTCTTACGAGACCCAAGGTTGTTGACGGATTTCGGCATGCACGCGAGACGGCGCGCGCGTGTGGACTTCGCCACCTGATTGCAACGATTTTTTGAAGATTGACGGTTTTCGTTAAAAACGACTGCGCGCATAGTTTCATTTGGCGAGGATAATTGGGGGGGAAACCTGGCCTAGCTGGGATGGTAGGAGCTCATGTTTATGACAAACGATGGGGCAAAACCGTATGTCAGAGTGAGGGGGCTGAACGGTCATTCATTGTCCCTGGGTGCGTGGCTGAAGTGCGGATCCATGGTGAGGATTCTGCTTGTTGTTGTTGATGTCGTCCCCCCCGCGACCCGGCCCGCGACCCACCCGCGACCCACCTCGCGACCCACCTGCGACCAACCCCGTGACCCACCCGCGACCCACCCGCGACCCACCCCGCGACCCGCTCGCGACCCACCCGCGACCCACCCGTGACCCACCCGCGACCCACCCGCGACCCACCCGCGACCCGGCCCACGACCCACCCGCGACCCACCGTCGACCCACCCGCGACCCACCGGCGACCCAACCCGTGACCCACCTACATTGTTTTAACCAAAAAATAAGCGCCTGCGGCGGGCTCGTTGTATAGCTTGAAAAATGTTGCGCCTGCGGCGGGCTCCTTCAAGCCTCGCAAACTGCCGACGTCCCCGCCGCCCCCCTCACTCTTATCCGCAACTGCGGGGTGCTACGTACATTGCACATCCCCAGGGGAGCGGTTAAGTCCGCCGCCGACAGTCTTTTTAGAAAAGAGAAACTGTGCGAGGCGGAGACGGAAAGGCGACGGCGACCACGAAGCCGTCAGACCGAAGGTCAGGCCCAGACGACGGGCGGCGACGAGGCAGCGACGGGGCGGCAACGACGACCACGGAGACGCCAAGCCGACGGTCAGGCCCTGACGACGGGCGGAGACGAGGCGGCGACGGGGTGGCAACGGCGACTACGGAGACGCCATACCGACGGTCAGGCCCAGACGATAGGCGGCGACAGGCGGCGACGGGGCGGCGACAGCGACCACGGAGCCGACAGACCGCCAGACAGGCCCAGCCAACGCAGACAGGCCCACTTATATCACAAACAAGCAAGGACCCCTAAGTGCAAACACTGTTTGAAGAAGAACGTTCCCTCCCCCAAACGACCGGCAGCCAACCCAGAATCATGCGCCTCCCCACCCATCCTTATGAAACAACAATACCAAATACACTTTGCCTCCAGGTCCAGAGCATGCGCTGACGCCCCGCGACCACTTTGCATGGGTATTTGACAGGGGCGGCGGGGGTGCCGGCATATTGCTTGCTGCGCGCAGGCCAACACCCCTCCACCATCCCTTGCAAAAAAACAGAAAGCTCACTTTGCACCAAAATCTGCATCATGCGCAGAGGCCCCGCGATCACTTTACATCGAATTTTGGCAGGGACGGCGGAGGCGACAGCATACCGCCTGCTGTGTGCAATGCCAACACCCCCCATCCATCCCTTGCAATACAACCGCCCTTCGTGCAACACAATACAAAAACGAACTCGGATCATGCGCGGGCGCCTCCCACTCACATGGCATGTGCTGTTTTGACAGGAGCGGCGGGGGTGCCGGCACATTGCCTGCTGTGCGCAGGCCCAACATCCCTCTCAAAAGAGAAACAATTTTTTTGCCAGGGACGGCGGGGGGGGGGCGGCATTCCACATGCTACGCGCAGGCCCGCCATCCCTGTCGAAAACCACATGCAGAACGATCGTGGGCGCACACCCGCACACAACAAACCCAGTGTCACTTTGCACCGCTTCCCCCTCCTGTGTTGGGTTCTCTTTTTGGCAAGAGCACTGCTCGCACGCCTCCCTCCTCCTCCTCCTCCCTCCACCTCCCCTTCCTACTTACGTGCCTCCTGCCTCCCTCCTCATCCTCCTCCTCCTCCTCTTCCTCCTCCTCCGCCTCCTCCTCCTCTACCTCTGCTCCTGCATCATGTGCGCTCCGTCGAGTGCTGCGAACTGCGCAACCGTCGCCACTGTCGTAGGCTCCTGGCAGGTCCAGCGGAATGGAAGGCCACGCACACCCAGCAGAGACCTCGTTGCTCCCTGGGCGGCTGCGAACTGCGCAATCGTCGCCGCTCTCGTGAACTCCACGGAGGTCCAGCGGAATGGAGGGCCACGCGCATCCTTTTGAGACCTCGCGGCGCCCTGGGGTGGCTGCGAACTGCGCAATCGTTGCAACTCTCGTGGACTCCACGGAGGTCCAGCGGAATGGAGGGCCACGCGCCATCCTTGTGAGACCTCGCGGCGCCCTGGGTGGCTGCGAACTGCGCAACCGTCGCCACTCTCGTGGACTCCACGGAGGTCCAGCGGAATGGAGGGCCACGCGCATCCTTTTGAGACCTCGCGGCGCCCTGGGTGGCTGCGAACTGCGCAAACGTCGCCACTCTCGTGAACTCCGCGGAGGAATGGAGGGCCACGCGCATTCTTTTGAGACCTCGCGGCGCCATGGGTGGCTGCGAACTGCGCAACCGTCGCCTCTGTCGTGGGCTCACGAGGGGTGCGGCGGAGGTGAGGGCAGCGCCGAGCCATTTGAGGCCTCGCTGCGCCATGGGTGGCTGCGAACTGCGCAGCGTGCGCGGGTTCCTGGGAGGCACGGCGGAGGTGAGGGCAGCGTAGATCGTGCGTATCTGGCGATGTGTTCTTTTGCATGGAGCGTGAATGCAAATACTCGCCTTGCGTGGAGGAGGGGCGGGGTACATCTCGGGCAATTGACAGGGGCAGTGGGCGTGCCGTGTGGCGCACCTGGTGCGCGTGGCGCAGCTGACATGTGCGGCGCACCTCGCGGGTTTCGCGCACCTGGCTGGCGTCTGCCTGCATTGGTTCCCGATGGTTGTCGATGCCAGCCCCTGTCCGTGCTGAGACTTGGGGGCTACGTCTGTGTTGGGAGGGCGGGTGGGAATAAGCGAGACGCTTCGTTGATTGAGGGAAGCCTGACCCCCCCCCCGCCCCCTCCCCTGGACCTGACGGGGGGGACCATGGGCCGTTGGAGCGTCTAAGAAGGCCTCGGCGAGAAGGCAAAGTTCATTGATGCCCCTGATGTTTTAGATCAAGTTGGGCCGCCTGGGGGGGGGGGGAGGGCGAGGCTTATTTGATCGAACTCCACCAAGATGGCCCCAAGATGGCCCCCAAGGCTCCCAAGAGTGTCTCAAGCGAGTCCCAAGAGGCGCCCAAAAGGCCCCCACGGGTCCCCAAGGGTCCCGAAGAGGGTCACAAGAGACCTCCAAGAGGCCCCAAGAGGCTCCCCCGAGGCACCAAAGCCGCTCCAAGAGGCCCACGGGACCGCCGAGAGACCCCGAAGACGCCCCCAGAGGACCCCAAGACGCTCCCAAGAGACATCCGGTGATACTCCGAGAGGCATCCAAGGGGCAACTAGCCTTGCTGCTCGCCTCCTCCACCTCCTCCTCCTCCTCCTCCTCCTCCTCCTCTCCTCCTCCTCCTCCTCATCATCATCATCATCATCATCATCATCATGATCATCATCATCATCATCATCATCATCATCATCATCATCATCATCATCATCATCATCATCATCATCATCATCATCATCATCATCATCATCATCATCATCATCATCATCATCATCATCATCATCATCATCATCGTCGTCGTCATCATCATCATCATCATCATCCTCATCCTCATCCTCATCCTCATCCTCATCCTCCCTCCTCATCCTCCTCCTCCTCCTCCTCCTCCTCCTCATCATCATCATCATCACTACCATCACCATGATCATCACCACCAACAACATCATCAGCAGCAGCATCAACATCATCAGCATCATCAACATCAGCATCAGCCTAATCATCATCACCACCATCATCATCATTATCATCATCACCACCAACATCAGCATCATCATCGTCAACGCCAACACCATCGGCATCAGCAGAAGCAGCAGCATGATCATCAATAGCATCATCAGCATCATCATCAACATCATCATCAGCATGTTCGTCAGCATCAACAGCACCATCATCATCATCCTCATCATCATCATCATCATCATCATCAGCATCATCATCATCAGCATCCTCATCGTTACCCGCATCAGCAGCATCATCATCACAATCACCGTCACCATCACATCATCATCATCATCATCATCATCATCATCAGCAGCAGCAGAATCATCCTCATCATTAGCAGCATAATCATCGTCAACATCATCAACATCACCATCATCCTCCTCATCAACATCGTCATCATCATCAGCATCGTCAGATTCATCATCATCATCATCATCATCAGCATCATCATCATCGTCGCTATCCGCCTCAACAGCATCATCATCAGCATCATCATCACCACCAACAGCACCATCATCATCATCAACATCATCATCCGCAGCATCTTCATAAGCATCAACATCACCATCATCAGCAGCATCAGCATCAACAACAGCAGCATCATCATCAGCATCATCAGCAGCATAATCATCATCAGCATCATCAACATAATCGTCAGCATCATCATCCTCAGCATCCTCAGCATTATTAACAGCAGCAGCATCACCATTATCATCAACATAATCAGCATCATCATCACCATCAGCATCATCAGCATCATCATCAGCAGCAGCATCATCATCAGCAGCAGCATCATCCGCCTATTCCTCCTCATCCCATCTGCCTCCTCCACTCCTCCCCCTCCCTCTCCTCCTCCTCTTCCTCCTCCTCCGATGCCTCCTCCATCCTCCATCTCTTGGGATAGGACGGCTTCCGAAAGCCCTTACTTCACTGCACGCTCCTCTACATCCCTGGCCAGGGTAACTTGCCCGGGCATCGTTTCTGGATGGACTGGTGGGGCTAAACGAAGCGTCTAGTCTGCATAGGACGTCACTATGCTGCCCCCCCCAGCAGCCCTCGAAAGAGGCGACAGCTTCGCAGTTCGCAGCCTCCAGGGATGGCGAGATCTAATCTGCGTCCGCTTAGGACGTCACTGCGCTGGACACCCCAGCAGCCCTCGAAAGTGGCAACGGTTTGGGAATTCGCAGCCCCCCAGGGATGGCGAGGTCTAATCTGAGTAGGACGTCACTGTGCTGAGCCCCTCAGCAGCCCTCGACAGCGTCGCCAATTTCGCAGTTCGCAGCCCCCCAGCAACGGCGAGGTCACGAAGGACGCAGGCTGGCAGGCAGGAAAAAGCCACGTTAAGAGGCAGGCGAGAAGAGGAGGAAAGAGCAGAGGAGGCGGGAGGACCGGCGGAGGGTGTGCGACCGCAGCGCTCTACTCACAACGAGAACCCCACGCACAAGGGTTGGGAACAATATCTTGTGCCGTCTCTCGTCCCTCGACTCTCTCGGCCCACCCTTGAGGGCCCAGGGGTGACTGGCATAAGGGGGGAAACATCGACTGGGAATCGGCGATGCATCGCTGACATCTCGGCGACTGGCCCCAGATAGTGAATCCGCACGTCCGTGGGCGGGGGTGGGGCTATCAGACCCCTACAGTCGGGCCGCTGAAATAAGGAACGCTAAGTAAAGAACGAAGCCCCTTTTAGGCCCCAAAGCCGCCCTCGTTCACGAGGAGGGCTGGAGGAACAGCCCTGGAAGGACCTGAGGAACTTATCTTTATATCTCCACATCTTGACCGCATCGGCGATCCATGGGCGACTGGGGGTCGATGCGTCCCCCCCTGTGCCTATCCCCCCTCCCGCTCTCGTTGCCCCAGGAGGAGGAGGTAGGAGGAGGAGGAGGAGGAGGAGGAGGAGGAGGAGGAGGAGGAGGAGGAGGAGGAGGAGGAGGAGGAGGAGGAGGAGGAGGAGGAGGAGGAGGAGGAGGAGGAGGAGGAGAGGAAGGGGAGGAGGAGAGGAGGGAGGAGGAGGAGGAGGAGGGAGGAGGAGGAGGAGGAGGAGGAGGAGGAGGAGGAGGAGGAGGAGGAGGAGGAGGAGGAGGGGGAGGAGGAGAAAGGGAGCAGGAGGAGGAAGGAGGTAGGAGGAGTAGGAGGAGGAGGAGGAGGAGGAGGAGGAGGAGGGAGGAGGAGGAGGAGGAGGAGAGGGGGAGGAGGAGGAGGAAGGGGAGGAGGAGGGGAGGAGGAGGAGGAGGAGGAGGAGGAGGAGGAGGAGGAGGAAGGGGAGGAGGAGGAGGAGGAGGGGGAGGAGGAGGAGGAGGAGGAGGTAGGAGGTAGGCCCCTGCCAAAAGAGGTGCGGCAGAGCCCCGCGCGTCCGAGGCCCCCGACGAGCGCCCAGGCGAGCCCACCCGCGGGGCGGCCGCCGGCTCCTCGCTCGTGGAGGCCGCCGCGCGAGGGCGCTCCGCCGGCGCCATTAGCCGCCGGCCGGCGAGAAGGGCGAGGCGCACTTCTGCCGGAGGAGGTCGCCCCACTCCTGGGTACAGAAAGAATACAGACAGACAGACAGACAGACAGACAGACAGACAGACAGACAGACAGACAGACAGACAGACAGACAGACAGACAGACAGACAGGCCCGCACTCCAGCCCCTTGGGGGCGGTCCTCTCAGAGGGCAGGCGCATGGGACACGCGGTCCCCCGCATTGGGAGAGACTACTGGGTTGTCGCTGCATAAACATATTTGGGAAAACGTAAGAAAAAGACAGATTTGAGAAACGTACAGAAAGAATGGGTACAGAAAGAATGGGGACGATCGAAAGGGGTACAGAAAGAATGGGTACGATGCCCACCCGCAGTTCCTGTTCACGTTGAACAGGACTCGCCGTCCGCGCCGGCGCGGACGCTCTTCGCTTGAGACAGGAGGCCGCCTGCCCAACAGCGGCCGCTGTCGGCTTTGGACAACATTTGTTGTTGGGCATTGTACCCATGTTTTCCGTACCCATCTCGGGCGTCCAAAGCAGAGGAGGAGGGTGCCGACAGGGGCGGAACACATCGCTCGGCGTTCGACGTTTGTCTCTGGTGTCCCGAAGGTCTTCCTGCCACGGGATGCTCTCCAGCAGCTGCGCTGGATCGTCCCGAACGGCCTCCGGAGACCTGAGCTATGACCCGGAAGCCTGACGACGAAGATCGCTGGGGTGCCGCCAAAAAAAAGATACCGACACCGCCGCTCGTGCTGGAGAGCCCTAGTCGCCACCACTGGATTCTCCTCGAGTCGAGGCACTAGTCAGGACGCACCCCGGGAGGGGGCCATGGATTCGCGGCACCGCTGCCCTCTTGTCCCCCCCGGCTCCACGGTGGAGAACCACGGGTGGCTCTGGACACGTCTGGTGCCGTCGGCGCCGCTGCCCAGACGCAGCCCCTGGTCTTTGATCAGGAGCAGGTAGACGATGCCCTTGGCCACGCTCCCGAAGTATTGGGGGCATCGCGGATCGCGGTCGATCACGTTCCTGCGAGTCTCGCGGGCGGTGCGCCCCGTGAAGGGGGCCCGGAACGCGAGCATCTCGAAGATGAGGATGCCGAGCGCCCACCAATCCACACACTGGCCGTGGCCGACTTGGGACAAGACCTCGGGCGCCATGTACTCCAATGTCCCACACACTGTATACGTTCGTGTTTGAATCACTTTAGCCAGCCCGAAGTCGATGATCTTGGCGTGGCCCAGCGAATCGATCACAACGTTCTCTGGCTTCAGATCACGATATGCGATGTCCAAACTATGGATGTGGCCGAGAGCAAGCGCGACCTCAGCACCGAAGAAATGCGCACATACTTCGTCAAACTTGGCGTTTTGCATGGCTGAGAATAGGTCGCCTCCGCCAGCATATTCCGTGAGCATGAAGAGGCTCGCGTCGTCCTGGAACGCGTCAATCAATCTGACAACGAACGGATGGCTGGCACGCCGAAGGAGCTCGCTCTCCTGCATCATTCTTCCAACCTGGTGCTCCCTGACGAAACGCCCTTTGTCGGTTATCTTGAGCGCGTACGGGGTGCCCCTGTCATTGGCAAGCTTGACCATGAGAACTAGACCCATGGAGCCCTCCCCAAGAGTCTTCACGATCTCAAAATCTTTCACTGTCCTATTCTCGATTCCCGCCCTACTCGACTGGCGCATGGGCGCATCTTCCATCAATCGGCGCATGCTGCTGTCGGACCCCGCTGACGCGCGGGAAGAATCTGGAAGATCTGGCACACTAGGCATGTCCTCGCGGCGCATAGAACCACTGCAGGCCCCGCACACCACACCGTCGAATTCGCGGAGAGTTCGGCCGCTCGACTTGCCAACGCTGGCCGCGGTGGAAGGCCAGCGTTGGCAATCGAGATCGTCCCTGCTCCCCATCGAGATCGTCCTTGAGATCGACTTGACCTTCGTCCTATGGTGAGCTTGTTTTCCACCACCACCACCACAAGTGGGAAAAAGAGGGAGTCCTCGTCCTCTTCCTCCTCTTCGTCCTCCTCCTCCTCCACCTCCTTCCCCCCTCCAACTTGTGGTGGTGGTGGTGGAAAACAGGCCCATGATCCTAAGCTGCCCCCAGCGGCACGATCCGAACATCGACGGCGTCCATCGCGAACTGCGGCCCGTCGCTGGCCTTGGACGCCGCCTGGTGAACGAAGACGGGCGCATCGTTGCTTCCGCTTGCCGGCTCGAGTCATAATGGATTGAGCCAACACAATGCTGCGGAAGCGCTGGTCACGTTCCTGAGCCCTGACCATGCTTCCGGCAAGCGAATGACGCTATCGTTTCAGCGCGGGCCGCACTCCCTGATCGACCTGTGGTCTGCGACTTCCCACCCTGGCTCTTGCGTTTGTGTCTACACATGGTGCCGTGGCACACGTGTGATGTGGGCGGGTGCCGTTGAAACCGGTCTTGAATCCGTAGAGTCGCGTTCTCGCTTCGGTCCCTCCAGCAATCATGCTTGTCTCGGTCTACGTTGTTTGCAATCGCGCCATTGCATCAGCGTTGGCCTCTTTGCCATCTAGCCTGCACAACTTCATCCGCATCCTCTCCTCCTCCTCGTGAACGTTATGCTCCTCCTGCTCATCATCTTCCTTTGCCCCCCCACCCCACTCCCCACTTTACCCTGGACTACCTACCTCCGCCACCTCCTCGTCTTCCTCTGTATTTGCATATTACATTAACGTTTGCCTTCCTTATGCCCATTATCGTCGCCTTCTCTTTTTCTTCTCCTCTGTCTGACCCCGTGGTCCCCTACCCTTGGTAGCCTGCTCCCTGCTCTGTCATGTAGTATACGGTTCATGCTCTTGATGGTCCCTCACCCGAACCTGACCCTTTCGGGATCAATGTTTTCTTCGACACCCGACTTTGCGAAAAGAGGCGGGATCTACGCCACGGTGAGGGATGGGAGGTAGGCGGAGGACGTTAGATATGGCGTGGGCGCGCCTAGCTTGTTTGTCTACAGTTACGCGCAGCCACACAATATGTATACTACTCTCCTCTCCCCCCGGAAGACGTCCTGAGAGCCCGCCCCCTATCCACAGATTGTGCGTTTACGAACGGGGCATGGTTGTCCCAGCTGGTTTTCCGCAGATCCGAACCGTCCTCGGTCCATGCAAAATGTCGCCCCCGCTGCAACCTTGGCCTCAAGCTAGGACTGCGCCCTGCTCGTGTCGCCCAGCGCGGGCCACAATTATGGCTCCAAGGGCTTCCTCGTCATTGTCGCCCCTCTCCATTCCCTTCCACAGCCCTCCCCTGAACCTCCTACTCCACCTCCTCCTCCTCCTCCTCCTCCTCCCATGCACGCAACTCCCTGCTTCCGATGGCGCAGAACGCAATGGGATCGTTGTTGGAGTTCCAGGTCCGCTATGCCGCGCGTCGGCGGGTATAGAGAAAGTAGCGCATTCTGAAGGAGAGTAGGAGTAGGATATCAAATATGACGCGAGCGCACCTAGCACCTAGCTTGCTTCTCTCCTCTCTCCTCTATCCTCCATCCTCCGCCTCCACATCCTCCTTCTCCTTCTCCTCCTCTTCCTCCTCTTCCTCCTCCTCCTCCTGCTCCTCCTCCTCCTCCTGCCCCCGTCCTCCTCCTCCGCCTTCTCCTTCTCCTTCTCCTCCTCCTCTCCTCCTCCTCCTCTTCCCTCCTCCTTCTTCTGCTCCTTTCTCCTCATCCTTCTCCTCATCTTCCTCTTCCTCCTCCTCCCTCTTCCCTCTTCCCTCCTCCTCCCTCCTCCCTCCTCCCACCCTCCTCCATCTCTCCATCCCTCCCTGTCGCACTCCCAGACGTGTCGGTAGGGCGGGCCCGGCGTTTCGCCTGAGATTTCCTCATCATGTACGGTCCTGAAGCTTGAAGTTTGCAGCAGCTTCACGGATGGAGGGCGGCCTTAGAGCAGGGCACATTCGTCAGAAATGCTTGAAACGGCTTCACGGGTGGAGGACGGGTCCTTTTCAACACGTTGCTCGCGCCAGAGCGTCGCGCAAATTCGTCTTAAATGTTTGAAGCAGCTTCACGGATGGAGAGCAGGTCCTTTTCAAAATGTGGCTCTCGCCTAAGCGCCGCGCACAATCGTCTGAAATATGTACACCAGTTTGACGGATTGAGGGCGGGTCCTTTTCAAAATGTGACTCCAGTCTTAGCGCCGCGCAGATTTGTCGTGAAAGAGCAAAACCGTTTCAAAGGTTCGTACGTTTGAAGTCCCAAGACGTGCTTCTTGGCGCGATAAAGGATTGTCAGGACGAATATGTCACCTTGACTCGCGGCGCTGGATTGCTAGAACTTGCGATGCCACGATTGACGATTGTCAGGACACGAACTAGTCACCTTGATGCGCGGCGCTCAAGTACTAGAAATTGTGTTCGCTCGGACGGCTGTCTTCCAACGAAGCACTTCCCACAATGAACATCAATTATTGTAGGGTCCGAGGCAAAAAGAAACTTGGAGGGAGGCTTCATTGAAGCATTGTTGACGCGTTCTCCTCATCATCACCATCCTCCTCCTCCTCATCCTCATCCTCCTTCTCCTCCTGTCCTCTCTCCTCCGATCCTCCTCTCCTCCCTCCTCCTCCTCCTCCTCCTCCTCCTCCTCCTCCTCCTCCTCCTCCTCCTCCTCCTCATGTACCTCCTACTCTCTCCCCTCCGCTGAGGAGGCACCCTTTAAGGACAGGACAGCAAAACCTCGTCTCAGAATGATGGACACCGGTCCTGCAGGTGCTCCCCCCCGTTTCCGGACCCCGCGGGCCCTCCACGCGCCCCCGGACGCGTCACACACGCCCGTGCGCGGAGAGCTGTGGCCCTGGAGAGCAGCACCGGGGTCCAGGGGGCCCCGCTTCCCCCGGGACACCGGCTTCCTCCCCAGAGGCCTGGAGATGCGACGCTTGTCCGGTGCGCGGCGGCCCCAGAGGCCCCGAGGCACTCGCAGGGCGCAGGTTTTCGCCCCGGATCACTGTTGGATACAGTGGGGGCTCGGCCACAAGAAACCTCCGCAAGAAACCCAACCCTGAGATCCGCGACTTGCTCCGTGAAAGTCCAAGGGTGTCGATCGAAGATCCTCAAGATCTGATTGGGAGCCCAGCGAGATCCAAGAAACCCAGGGCACCCTGGCAAAATCCAACCGGTTTCTTGGCACGCGCCCCCACATGTAGTCCCAGGGGGCCGGGAGCGGGCCCCGGGGGCCGGCCTCGAGGGAGAGCGCGCCGGGCTTGTCGAGAGCGGAGGGCCGGAGGTCCGGGCTCACGGCGAACAGCTGCTGGCGGCGAGAAGAAGGGGGTAGCTAGGGGAGGGGGGAAGGCTTCTTAGAAGGAGGCTGCTTCTTAGAAGGCGCCGGCACAGAGAAGGCCCGCACCTTCTAAGAAGCAGGGGTGCTTCGAAGAAGCCTTCCCCCCTCCCCCTAACCCCCCTCTTCGCGCCGCCAAAACTGCAAGGAGCCCCGTCTTCCGCGACGCACGAGCCGAGCGAAGTGCAACGCAGGTGCAGGAGGCAGCCCTGGCCTCCCGGCTGGGGTCCGAGCAGGTGGGGTCGGAGGATCGCGCTGCATCGACAATCCATCGCCGATGCATCGGCGATGCGTCGGCGGCGTCGGCGGTGTACCCGCGCCATTGGCGTGGAGGAGATCGGGCTCCACATCGAGCCGCATCGGCGACACATCGGCGATGCGGCGCGATCCTCCGACCCTGCCTGCAGTCAGGAACTTTTGCTTGCGTGTCGCTGCGGCGGCCCCGGCGACACGCTTTGCCCTGGAAGCGGATAGCGTGTCGCTCTGATCCGTGGGGCGCGTGGTTGGGAAAGGCTCGCGGCTGGACGCCCGGGGGCTGGGACATGGATACCATGTCGCGCCGACGCGTGGTGGGCCAGAACCGGCGCAGCGACACGCTGTGCCCAAGTTCCTGGCCGTAACTAAGACCAGGTGGGGAGGCCATGGCCTCCTGGACCTCGTGCATGGACAACGCAACTGTGTATCGCGGATGGCTGCCACCGCCTTCAGTCCTCTCGTTTAACTTCTGCAAGCCGATGCTTGATAGGCTCCTTCTCCTCCTCCTCCTCCTCCTCCTCCTCCTCCTCCTCCTCCTCCTCCTCTTCCTCCTCCCCCTCCTCTTCCTCCTCTTCCTCATCCTCCTCGTCCTCCTCCTCCTCCTCTTCCTCCTCCTCCTCCTCCACCTCCTCCTCCTCCTCCACCTCTTCTTCCTCCTCCTCTTTGCTCCGGGAGGGATCAAAACGTACCGATACTCCCCGAACCTCTCCCATGGTGCGTTCTGGCCAGAATTTAAAAGCGAATCTGGCGATGGCGACGAAAGCATCCCAAAAAGCCCGAAAAGGCGAATACGAGGCAAGGGTAGCTGTACGTGTAAGTGTTCCTCTTTCCCCTCCTCCTCCTCCTCCTCCTCCTCCTCCTCCTCCTCCTCCTCCTCCTCCTCCTCCTCCTCCTCCTCCTCCTCCTCCCTTCCTTTTCCTCCTCCTCCTCGTCCTCCTCCTCCTCCTCCTCCTCCTCCTCCTCCTCCTCCTCCTCCTCCTCCTCCTCCTCCTCCTCCTCCTCCTCCTCCCTCCTCCTCCTCCTCCCTCCTCCTCCTGTCCTCCTCCTCCTCCTCCTCCTCCTCCTCCTCCTCCTCCTCCTCCTCCTCCTCCTCCTCCTCCTCCTCCTCCTCCTCCTCCTCCTCCTCCTCCTCCTCCTCCTCCTCCTCCTCCTCCTCCTCCTCACTCCTGAAAATCTGGCAAGAGCTGTTTCACCAGAGCACGGTAGCCGTTGAGCCAAACACTTGCGGCCAACGACGGACGCGTTCTCTACAAGGTCCCTGACATCATCTAACCCTCGCGGCTGATGAGCGGGGCGCAGTCGAAACAGCAAAAGCGACAGGGAAATAAACAAGCAGTCGGCGCAAGTGTGAACAGAGACGAAGGCCAGGTTCCCAACCCAACAAGCAAGGAACATGTGAGATCAAGAAGAGATCAAGAACGTGCGCAGCTGGCGCAACTAAGATTTGGGCGTCAACGTGCAAAGGGGCCCTCACACGCGATTGACTTTTCAAATGTCGCAGGGGGCCGAGCTACACATAATGATTAGCATGTTATGTAATGTATGCGCGTGTAGACGAGCACCTGGATCTCGACTGATCTGGGGCTCAAGTCACTTGCAGAGCGGTACGCGACAGTAACGCGAACACTCCGTAGCAGGTGCCAACTCGTGTATTCCGCGAACGATGTGTTGATTGGTACCTCGCACATGCATGGA